GTTCTGATGAGGTCCAATGGAAGTCCAGCTTGCTTTGATAGCAGCCTTCAGATCACCTGCATTGTTGGTTCTGCTTTTTCTCATCTTCCTCCATAGATTCAATTCAATCCCTAAAATACTTAATTAATCCAGCAGGGAAATTAAATGTTGCAGTAACTCATAGAGTTTCTGTCATGATCTGGCCTGTTTGCTCTCCCTTAATTAGTCATTCCTTTCACCTGTCGTTTTTCCCTCCCTGCCTCAATTATAATTTATTCCTCTCACCTGTTTCCTGTTGGTTATATTCAGTTCAGCCTGAGCATTCAGTGTCAGATCATTACTTGTCTTTCTGTTAGTCTGTCTGTTCAGTTTTATTTTATGGTTCATGTCCTGGATCCTAGCAGCCAGTGGAAAGAGGGTTTTTGTTTTTTTCTCGTCTCCTTATCGTCCACTGTTCCTCCCCCTCCTCTGGGTTTTTGGTTCATTATGGGGGGAGGTTCAGTTTTTATCCAGTAAGCCTGGCTCCAGGGAGGAGACCAGTTTAAAGTCCTGCTTCAAGTTCTGGTTCTACGTCCTGTCTGGGCTACCCTCTTCCACTGAGCCTGCTCATATGCACCTGATTCTGTCTGCTCCTGTACGTGACCACCTGGTCATGCTTCTGGTCCTACTCAGACTCTGAATCCTCCTGGGAGTCTGTGGATGCCTGGAAGTCTGGATCCTGCCACCTGTTTCTGTTCCTGCCTGATCTGGATTCTGCCTGTTCCTGTCTGTTCTTGATCCCTGACCAGGATCGACTTCCAGCATGACCTCTGGGACTGCAGCTCTAGGGGACATTCTAGGACTGGACTGTTAAACCAGGTAAGTGACCCATTTAGATAATCATCTTCTGTAAGATGATCGTGGTCACTTACCTGTGTTTCTCCCACTACAGAATGTCTGAGATTGGGTGGCCTGCAGTGTCTGTGAGCCACAGCTCAGCTTTTGTTTTGTTTTATTTAATAAACATTTTGAAATTTCCTACTGACTGTCTCTCCTTGAATACTGGGTCCCGTCTGTCCTCGCTTCATAACAGTTTCATTTTAACCAGTTGTTGTAGGTGTTCATGCTACAGGCAGGAAGGATCTTCTGTAGTGGTCTGTCTTCCACCAGATCTGGAGAAGCCTCTGACTGAAGACACTTTGTTGTTCAACAAGCCTCTGCAGAGGATGCTCACTGTTGTCCATAATCATCTTCTTTGTGAAATCATGTCCAGAGGAGTTCCTAGAACAGAGCTGACCTTCTTTATCAGCTTGTTAAGCCTTTTTAAGTCATTTGCTCTGATACTGAATCCCATTTAGTTCACATATGGGCGTGGCTCAGATCGGGTCTTATTTTATGTGAACGGATCAGAACCGGGCCGTTCAGACATGAAAAAGATCAGATTTGTGTTACAGTGGGCACTGGTTGGAAATAGACGGTTTCCTGCGTGATTCCTGTGTGATTCCTGTGTGAATCACGATGTATTTCCTGAGGCCAGTTTTTTTTATTTAAAAAAGAACTGCAATGTACCCGGAACACCACCAGGTGGTGCTTGGGACCTCTGCCGTGCTGAGGGTGACGTTTGTGGACCTGCAGTCAACTGAAAAGCAGGTTTACTGGGGATCTTGGTGTGATATTGTGCTATTTTATTTTGTTTTTGATTAAAATAAAGTTAATGAATTAATTTAACATAGGGACTGCATAATCTTATTTTATGAAAATGGTTGCGTAGTTATAGATACACCTCCGATCTTATCTGAGAACTGTTATTTCTATTTATCTGCATCGCTATTATTTAATGAAAAATAAAATTAATCAAGTAGGAGCCGGGAATACGGACTGAGGCGCAACCAGAGAAAGGCGACAGAGACAGTGCTGCGGCTAGTGATTTTGAAATTAAAATTATATCCAAAGTTGATTTCTCATTAAGATAAGCCAAAGTTATTCAAAAGGGTATGTAAGTTTAGTTTTGTAAAATATAAGTGCCGTTGACAGCTTTGAGGATCAAAAGTCAAGCTAATCTTTAACTGTGTTCATTAAAATTCATCGAGAGTTTCTGTGCTTGGTCTGTTATAAAAAAAGCAGCCACCTGTTGCTACCACGCCGTTTTTTTATTACATTAGACCATAGGGATTATCATTCTACTGCCTCAACATCTTACTCTTATAATAACAGGTGTATTGTTATACTGTTTTTGTGTATTACTTTCTTGCCGTGCAATACGTGACACCCCTCCCAGTCTGGTCAAGAAGCAGACTGCGAGAGGTGTCACGTGTTGCAGGCTGATAGCGTAGAGGTTAGGCTCAGTGGTCTGTGGTTCAACAGATTGCGGGTTTGATCCCAACTGTGGCCGAAATGCTTTAAATGTTTTTTTAATTTTTATTTTTTATCGCTTTTTTATTACATTAGGCCATAGGGATTATCATTCTACAGCCTCAACATCTTACTCTGATAATAACAGGTGTATTGTTATACTGTTTTTGTGTGTTGTTATTATTTATTATTATCATTATCATTACATAGTTTCCAGTGATGGGCAGTAGCGCCGCTGCATTATTTATCAAGTAACTTTCCAGTAGTGACGTTATTGTTTTTATTAAGTAACCCTAACCGCAGGTCATTCGTTCCTGCTGCCATCCGGATTGTACATATCTTTATTTCTTATTTTTTTTATTTCCTATTTTTGTTTTGTTTTTCATTGTGTGTGATACATGTACACATGCACCTTAATCCTATTTATCTTGATATACTGTATATACCTGGATATAC